TTTTCTGGAACCTGTGATACTTTACACAGGATTGATTGCATTGGCAATCATTACATCCAGCTGCAGCTGATCACAGCGTGAGTATAAGGGGCAGCAGGTGCACCACATTCATTCATCTTTTCGCTTTGGAGCCCTACTGCTCTCCTCTTCGAGTGATTGCAAGAGCGAGTGCGGGTGTTGCAGCGGTGGTCGCTGTCTCATGGAGAAAAAAAAAAGATTCCATTACATCAAATGTGGCGGCGTCCCTCTGCAATACATCCAGTAGCTATTCGTCCCGGCAATCGGGGCAGCGCTGTGTCCGGAGGAGTCAGAGGGGATTTGAGGATCATGGTGACGGCTTCCCCAGAGGGAGTTTGTCACCCCTCAAGCACTCCGCAGCTGGTGGAGCGGCCGGAGGGGTGCGCTGGCCTCTCTACAGGATGGAGGGAGCCGGCCGTTTCATTCAGTTCGCCCCCTCGAGACCAGATATCGATCGCTGCATCGGAGGGCTCTCTCTCTCTCTCCGGAGATGATGACCTGGCTGCACTGCCCCTTTCAGGTGTGGCAGTGTTGTCCGAGCCAGACCCAGAGATGACGGCTATGCTTTCCGGGGCCGCCGAGAATGTCGGGCTTGTGTGGAATCCTCCACCGCGTCCCGATCCTTCGAGGCTGGATGAATGGTTTCTCGGTGGGGGTCGTGCTGGTTCTCTTGTCTCCCCTCTCTTGTCTCTCTGATGACCTGACGAAGGACCTCGCGCTTTAAGCACCGAAGGTGTCTCTAGGTCGTGCGATGTCCACGCTAGTGATCCAGGAGCGTCATCTCTGGCTGTCTGGCCGACATGAAGGAGCATGATAAGGTGCAGTTCCTGAATGCTCCCATGTCACAGACTGGCCTTTTCGACAACGCTGTCGAGAGCCTTGCCCAGCAGTTCTCGGCGGCACAGAAGCAGACTGAGGCGATCAAACACATCCTGCAGTGGAGGAAAACTGCTGCTTCCACCCCAGCTGCAGCCCCTCAGCCTGCTCATCGCCGTGGGCGCCCCCCTGCGGCTGCCCCCGCTCCCATGCATCAGCAGCAGCCTTCCACTAGTCAGCGTCGTGGAGATGGTCACAGCCAGGATGCCCTGCCCGTCCAGGCCCCCGCCAAGCCCGGCGGTAAACGCAAGTGGCCCTGAGACGGGCGACCTGGAGATGGAGGAGACCGCTCGTTGGGAGATGGTGACTGCACCACTCTCTCCCCCGGAGGAGGGCAGGGGGGATAATCTTTTGTTTCGTTTTGTTTTTGTTCGGTACTCAAAACTTCAATAAAAGAGTGGTTACCTCAGTCTCTGGGTCTCAAGAGGAGGAGAGTTGTGAACTGTGCATCACAGGGTCACTTTCCCCCTCCTCTCTCGCCAGCGGGCAGCAGTGGGTTGTCCAAGAGCCCCCCTTCTGCCCATTCGTGGAACCAGGTAAGGGCTGTAGCATTCGAGTCCTGGCTTCATGTCTTCACACACCGGGTTGTCACAAGCCTCAAGCCGGTACCCTGTGTTTTCTCCCACACATGGAGGAATCAGGTGAGTGTTACACTTACGTCTAAAATCAGGGCTTAAAAATGTATTGGTTTTAAGTAAAAACCATAGGCTTTTTTCCATTACATTTCCCGAATTACAGGTTAGAACGAAATAAAACATTACTTAATGAATTCAATGCACTGTAATTCCTTATCCATTTGAGTAAAACTATTATATATAATTAATGTGTATATATATATATATATATATATATATATTATTTTTTTTTTTTCATCATATTCGTGATTTATGAATTTTTTTAATGAAAATTTTGTTTTATAGAATAGCTAGGGTATTCGTTATGTTCGTTTATAAAACGGTTAGTTCTATTCCTCGATTCTGATTGGTCAGCAGCTGTGTTTTATTCAGGATACAGCACAGCTATGACCGCTTCACCCAACTTCTGTGTTTCACTGAGCAACCTTAGCAACCAACCTTAGCAATATAAACAATCAACAATATAACATTAAAACTGTTCCGTGTATTATCTATGTCTGCAGAATTAACTGTTTATTATTTATTTAATGAAGTATGAGTGACAGTGGCGTAACTTAGTAATGACGGGCCCCCTGGGGTGCACGGTTATGAAGCACATACAAACACACGGTGCTCGTGTCTAGAAGGGAACCCTTATAAGCAAATTTGCGCCTAACCTACTTAATTTAGACCAACTAAAATCAGTATCTTATCAGTTTCTTATAATAAACTGAACATAAAAACTCAAATTGAAACTCTTTGCGTGCGTCTCTCTCTAACACACACGGCTGTGCGTGCGTCTGGCCCTGCCCACATTGCAAGCGACTATATTAATATAAATTAATAATAAACGTATTAATAATAAAATACAATTAGTAGAGGGACCCCTGCTGGCGTATGTTGCATCTTTCATCTTTAACTTTGAGACCCCTCCCTTGGCCTTCCCCAGCCTAATAAACGCCTCTCATGCGGACATGTGTTGATGTGTGTGCGTGTCTGTGTGGAAGCCTACAGTTTCTGAAGTGAGGAGGGAATATTACTGAATTGATTAGATGTGATTCTGTATGTCCATCAGTTTACACTGTAATGACGCTTGCAAACTCGCGCTGTGACGCGAATCCATCTGATTTATAACTAAAAGACGAAAAACAGATGTTTTCTCATGCTGAGAGATAAGCAGATGTATGTGTGTGAGAAAATATCATATATGGTGTTAAAAAAAATTACACAGCAGATAAGGGCTCCTATTCTCTGTTTTTATTTAGGCAGAGGCTATTTGCACTAAGTGTAAATAGCAATAGAGGTTATTTACACTAAGTGCAAATAGCAGCATTTTTTTGTGATATGCTATTTCAGAATCAGAATGAGCTTTATTGCCAGGTATGTTTACACATACCAGGAATTTGTTTTCGTGACAGAAGCTCCACAGTGTAACAGAATGACAGTGACAGAACAAAAAACACAGATAATAAAAAATAAAAAAATTAAAAAAATTAAAAAAATAGAACAAGTAAATAAGGCATAAAAATATGCAACTCGACAATTGTATGTACAGGTATATAACAATAGACAGTTGTATGTACAGGTATATTATGTGCAAATTGAAATGCAGACTGAGTATGAGTGTTAGATAAATAAGTGTATGAGTGAATAAATAGTGTGTGTTCCACAGTTATTGTCAGGAACCTGAATGACTCCACTGCAGTCAGTGCTGTCCACGATGGTGAGTGGGGGGAGTGCAGGGGGGTTTCTCCTGAAGTCCACTATCATCTCCACAGTTTTGAGTGTGTTGAGCTCCAGGTTGTTGAGACTGCACCAGACAGCCAGCTCTTTAACCTCCTGTCTGTAAGCAGACTCGTCACCGTCCTGAATGAGGCTGATGAGTGTGGTGTCGTCTGCAAACTTCAGGAGCTTGACAGAGGGGTCTTTAGACGTGCAGTCGTTGGTGTAGAGGGAGAAGAGCAGTGGGGAGAGGACGCAGCCCTGAGGAGCACCAGTGCTGATCGTACGGGTGCTGGATGTGTATTTTCCCAGCCTCACTAGCTGCTGCCTGTCTGTCAGGAAGCTGTTGATCCACTGACAGACGGTGGTGGGCACGGAGAGCTGAGTTAGTTTGGGCAGGAGGAGGTTTGGGATGTTCATTAATTATTAATTTATAGCATTAACAAGATGACCCGTTGAATTCATTTTGGGAGCGATGACTGATTGAATGTATTTTTAGTCCAGTGCCTGTATATAAGATTAGTATTGACCAAGTTCAGAGGCTGTCTTTTTTATTTATTGCATTTTGGAAAAAAAAGTCATGCATTTATTGCATTTTTGGGAAAAAAAATAATATAATTTTATAATAAATCTTGGAAAATCAAAATCTGTATTAGAATTTTTAATGTTATTATAACCTAAAGATGTTATGTGAAAGTTTGAAACAGAAAATAATGGTTTTCATCTTGGCACTTCCTTGGTAAAGAAAACACATTTTTACTCAAATTAATCTAAATGGATTTATAGCGTTTTGGAACCAAGCTCTTTATCTACTCCATGAACATGGAAAACAGCAATTTTGCAGCTTTTACCTGTTGTCTGCAGTGTTGTGTTTTTTCTCAGCCTCGATGATATGTAACACTGCAAATTGTCAGAAGATTTAGTTTTTTTGCTCTTTCAGTTGCATAAATTGTGTTTACATTCCATCTCTGTTATGACGAAACAAACAACAAAAACAGCTCAGATCACGATGTCCTACATTCACTGGTTGTTGATGTATGTAAATGCAGCGAAAAAAGATGTTGCTGTTGGACGCTTCAGAGTTCCTGCTGCTGGTGTGAATGCAACCAGGAAAACAGCCCGAGGGAGAAATTGGTTCCCTGCTAAGTTCCTAGAACTACGCAGTGCGAAAGCTTCTGCTTAAAGTAACTGTTAGGCATATTGTTTTTATGAATTTTGTGTGATCATCCCCTTACCGCTGTAACTCAGGATTTGCTGTGTGAACAGCATAGTTGTGTATTTACTGCTTATATTAAGTAATTCTGGTAATTTTTACAGAAATGTTGCCAGGATTACTATGGGAAAGTTGCTAGTGTCAGTGATTGATATGGGTACTTTATGCTTTTGCCGTAACGCTCGCAAGTGTCAGTAAAGCGAAAGAGCACAAGTAAGCAGGGCCTATAATGATTGGTCGATGTCTAGAGGCAGGCACAAACTAATTTGTTTTCTGTGTGACGTCACAGATCCCACTATATCCAAGCCAACCTCTTACATGTCATTAGATCAAGGAAATGCCCTGACCCCTATTAATAAGGAAATAAAAACATTTCATCAAGAACCTCTGGATTCTAAGTTTTGTTAAAGGGATAGTTCACCTAAAAATGAAAATTCTTGCTGTATTATATAACAATCTTATATGCAAATGAAACATGCATGCACTTATTCACTCTGTTTTTTTTTAAATCACAGCAAAAAAAGGCAAAATTTATTAACCCCCACTGGTGCAGAGGCATGGACAAACCTCTTAGAAGAATGTAAGTAAATGTTCACTCAGAATAATTTTGTGTATAAACAAACATGTAATTGTTTACTATATTGTCCATTACTCATTGGTCAATGACAGAAGGAAAAAGCCATCAGACAAGTCTCAAGCTTTTCAAAGGAGGAAAAAAATGGAAATGAACAAGAATTATATGTTTAAATAAATAAAAAAAATCATTACAAAAATGATTTATTAACTGAAACTACTTCTAGCGGCCATAAACAATCATGATTTTGTCACCACAAACTGTTCGTCCTCCTCATAGGCAGGTTAAGAAATAGCTGTTTGAATTCAAAACTTGTTGATGCAAATTTTTTGCAGGTCACGTCATGATGCCATACTATTGAATAAAGGTCCTCCAGTGCTTTACCGTCTGAACACAGAAAGAAAATATATTGATGGGACTGATAAAAAGGTCAGACAGTGGATATATGGAAGAAGAGACAGAAACAAACAGAACAAAGTCATACTGATGGTAGGAGAAACCGGCACTGGAAAAACAACCATGATCAACACCTTGGTCAACTACTTACTGGGAGTGAAGTTTGAGGATCAAGAGTTTTATCAAATCACAGAAGAAGCTGATGATAAAGATCAATCACAATCCCAGACACGTGATATCACTGTTTATGAGGTGTTTGTTGAAGAAAACCCAACATCTCTGACCATCATTGACACTCCAGGATATGCAGACACTGAAGGATACGAGAAAGACAGAGAGATTTCTGAGTATCTGCTCAGATTATTTTCAGATGAGGATGGGATTCATTATGTTGATGCAGTGTGTTTTGTGATGAAGGCAACTCAGAATCGACTCTCTGAAAAAGAGTTTTACATAGTTCACTCAGTTCTGTCTCTGTTTGGTAGAAATATAGAGAACAACATAGTGTTCCTACTCACACAGTCAGGTGGATTACCTCCAGCAGATGCTCTTAATGCCATTAAAACAGCAGAAATACCCTGCAGAAGAGATGAAGACAATGAACCCGTTTACTTCTTATTCAACAACCAGCAGAAAGAGAAAAGAAATAAAAAGTATATGCAAGCTTTGAAATCAGCCTGGGAAATGGGAGAAGAAAGCGTAAATCAGTTCTTCACACTCCTGGATGAAAAGAACAGAAAAAGTGTTCAGATGACATTAGATGTTCTAAAAGAGCATAGACGACTTGAAGCCTGTGTCTCTAATCTGGTGGATAAAATCTCTGAGAAGGAGCTAAAAACTGATGAACTGAATGGGATTCAGGATGCCCTCATACAAAACAGAGACAAGATTGGGAATTGTGAAAACTTTCAGTTTACAGTCAAAAGAGCTGTGAGAGAAAAAGTGACCATTGAAAATCAAATGTGGTGGAACAGTAAGGCAACTTGCTGCTCCATCTGTAAGGAAAACTGTCATGAATGGCACTGCAGCTGGGCAAGAGATCCCTCAGCATGTTGGGTCATGAAAAACAACCACTGCACTGTGTGTACAAAGAAGTGTCATTACAAAGAACATAAGAAAGAGAACAAAAAATATGTGACAAATATAACGGACGTCACTATGACATTTGATGAGCTCAAAAAGGAGTATGAAGACACTGATGAAACAACTGTAAAATGCTTTGACAATACAATATTTGAAAACACAAAAAAGCAATATGAAAGTAATGTGAAAGAGGCTGAGAATAAAACAGAAATAGAAAAAAAAGTTATCAATGATCTGGAGAAGATTAAAATGGAAAAGTCCAAACTGCTGGATGAAGCTTACATGACCATCATGAGCCTGTCTAAGATCGCATTAAAAACAGACAGCGCTTTCACTCTTCAACATCTGGATTTCTTGATTCCCAGACTGAAGGAGGAGGGCAGAGATGAATGGATGAAGTATTTGGAGGATATGAAAAAAGCTGGAGAAGAGAAGAAGAACAAGGGGGCTGTAAATTATCTGATGGCTTATGGCAGACAAAAATGGAACCAACTTTTAAATTGTGGTAAAAATCAATAAAAATCTGAAAATTCAAGATGGAAAAAGCAAAACAGATACTGCTCCATCAGTGAGAATGATTCACTTAAAAAGGGTTTTACGCAAACAGCATTCATAAGACTGAACACAAGAGCTTTCACACGAAAGAAAGAAAGAAAGAAAGAAAGAAAGAAAAACTCACTAAGAGCATAACCAAACTTATCTTCTCACCCATCAGTTATCCTCCTCCCCTCCCTAGTCCCATCCCTTAACTCTGGCTAAAGACCTAAAGCTCATCAAGAATGATTATATACCATGCATGATGTATCTTCTCAATCTATTTTTCCCCTTTCATATTTGGTACCGTTTTAAACATGTCACTGTGATCAGTATAATGGTGATCACAGTCATGTATATAATGTGATAGACTGCAAATGTAGGAGAATTCGAGTGTCGCGTTGCGTCAAAAACAAAGAAATTACAATTACTGCTGCAATCTTGTCTACACTGGATACAGTATACAGATGCGCATTCACTTTCTGACACAGTCCACATGCTCAAGTCTGTTGTCAACAGGACAAATGGAGAGGAAGAATGTTCGCTTTGACGTGTTTGGTTTAAACAGCTTGTTCGCGTCTTTGTACAGATATCAGAAGGATCCCAGCATCAGGAAGAAGTGGATAGTTTATTTTTAATGGCACACCGGATCTTGTTTTGTTTTGTAAACAGGGCTCAGTGTCATGGAGAGTTCACAAAGAGTTCAAGTTGAGAGATGAAACGGTACTAGACTTTTTTTTTGTGCAAAAAAACTTCATTAATATTATAAGTAAATCTCAAGGAACTTAAAACATAACTAAAAAAATCCATGTCATGACCCCTTTAATGTTGCATAATAATGTTAATATCTACATGCTATTCTCATAACGTAACTGTTGTTTTGCAATGTTCAGAGTTAGAATGTGTATAATGTTATAAGCCATGTGGATAAATAATTATAGTGAATGCAACTTTATATAAAGTGTTTAATACATCAGTATGCTACTGTAAGCGGGGAGCAGCCTATAGTTGTATATGAATAATAATACTTGTAATGTTGCATTAGAGCATTGCTCTTTGTGTGTTGTAGATAAACCACGCCCTCCACCACAATCATACAGTTCATTCTTACTTCAACTGATATGCACCTAGCCCACTTACGAAGACAAGATTCTTCATCTGAAAGACTGTGCTTAAGTTTTTCCCTTTAACTTGCTCATGCATCCCATCATTCTCATCAACCCGTGCCTGCTCATTTGCAGTGGTCCCAGAGCTCATACTGATCGAAGGATATCCATTCCTCTGGATGCTCCAAAGGAGGCCATATTGTCTCTAAACCACTTCGAGTCCACTGCAGTCCTCAAGCTATTTGTCCACATCCTGTTAGTAGACACAGACTGAAGTGCATGTAAAGGCTGACTCCCCCTTCTGATATTGATTATAGCGCATCTGTGAAAATAAACTAGTTGAAACTGATACTTCGCTCTGCTGTGTTCTGACCGACACACCTCGCTCACTATTATCCGAGCTAGCCCTAACAGTATCAGGTAGCCCTTCGCTAAAAAAAAGGTCATTTCAAGACATTTCCAGGCAATTATTAATTAAAGTATATGAATATTGCAATGCTAATTGACATAACATTTATTACAGTATAGAAACTATTCTGCCTTATTATGTGTTTGTATAAACCACACCGTATAAAAAAAAAAACGATAATGTACTGGCAGAAAATTACCAGGACTTTGTTTTGTTATATTTACGGACATTTCCTTCAACTTTACAGTCCCCCTGTAGTCAAAAATGTTATTCTTTGAAACTAATCTTAATCATCAAAATCACATATTTAAATGTTTATTTTTTCTTGTGAAAATAACTTTCTCATGCCTTAAAATAGCTGGAATGTAACTCTACACCGTTGCCTCATTTTCTATAGGCAGATATATAAATATGCCTAGCTTCCACTCAGTCACACCAGCCAGGGCTTCCTGATCCACGGATAATGACTGATAAAACTGTTTTTACTAGTGGACAACTACAGTCGATATTGAAAATGCATTGAAGACTCGAATGCAGCCAAATTTGTGATTCTTAATTTGCACCCGCGAGCCATGCATGTGAAGAGCGGACGCCGATGCCGGAGAGGTGGGTCTGACTCCGGGCTACCTTTCCACTGTTGCCGCAGGTTATTATTCAAGTTAGAGGTTCTAAATTCACGTTAAACCACGGCTTCATGGCTTTTTTGCTCTATTTTATTTTTGGTTTTGTGCTGGTAATCCTATTGGTATATTTTGCATGCGATCTCTATGCTATGATCTCTGTGCAAGCCGCGTTATAAAAGGAGAGAGGGATATGCTAATTATAGGAATCTATCCCTTGATGTGATTAGTTATTGAATTTTGTGACCTAGCAAACCGAGGGCTGTTACAAACTGCATTACTGGGACTGCCATTGGGGAATGACAGTTTTAAGGAGAAAATACTCAGCAATGGTGTTGATTAATGGATTGGCACATGGTTTGTCTAAAAGCACATTAAAAACACCACATAGACAACTAAACAACATTTAAAAAAACTTGATTTCACTACAGGGGAACTTTAAAACAGAACATTCTGTAGATTTACATTATCTTCTGTACCATAAACGGACAATCCGTTATGCAGACATTTCTACAAAATTATAGCATAGGCCTATCTTTAGTAGCAAATAAATCCAGCACAATATATACAAATTGAACATGGTTCAACATGTAAACATTCCTAAATGTGCATTCAGTGGCTTTGTTTGCCTTAAACATGAGAAGACAAAAATATTATGACTTCAATTAATTTAATGTGTAAAGCACCATTAAAATGCTTGTATTTTGGAACACTTTTTAGTTTTAAAATGCAACAGACAGAAAAAAAGAAAACATGAGCAGGTACTTGTACAATACTGGTGTTGCACCAAATAGTGGTCACAAAGATAAACTTCTCTGTGAAACAGTCAAGATTCAAAACATTTTCAAATACATGGGAAAAATAAATAAATACAAAGACAGGGCTGTCATTAATAACAATTGCTAAAGACTTATAGACAATTGTGAAGTGAAATGTTCCAGTGCTGACACCATTTTCCTATAGGAGAACACAATATTATTTAAAAGGACAGTTCACCCAAAAATTTGAATTCTGTCATCAGTTACTTACATTCATACCATTCCAAATCCATAAGATTTTCATTCATCTTTGGAACACAAATGAAGTTTACTTTTAAGGTCAAATAAGGTATAGCTGTCAGATTTCATTAAAAAGGATCTTCATTAGTGTTCCAAAAATGAACAAAAGTCTCACGGTCACATCACGTATGATCTGTTTTGGTTTAGTTTTATGTGTTTCCGTTCTCCTGCCTAGTTTGTTGCCATGGTTTTTGATTAAATAGTTCCATACCTGTTTCTGTTTCTCCCTGATTAGTCTGCTATTGAATGCGTCTACGTGTTGTGATACCCCTTGCTGCTGGATTCCTTCTGTTTCTTGTGTGGATATATCATTAAAAGACTATTACTCCTGCGTTGTGCACCTTTACTTTACTTTTACTACGTTGTGCGGCATTTCTTTCTTTTCTTTTTTTTCTCCCCTCTCCCATAATGGACCTGCCAGCCATCCAGCTCATATGCCTGGAGCAGTTGGACCGTTTGCAGGAGGACCACACCAGGGTCTTTCTCGATCAGGCATGTCTTACCCACTTCCCGTACCGCTTGCTCAGGTTAGTGTAATAGAAAAAACAGAGTACATGTAAGGCACGCCTACCAGTGAATGGTCCCAAAGAGGAATTCACTGTAGTGCAGTAATTCACTTTTGTGTAGTGCGTGCTGGTGAATTGTGGATCACACTTCACCATCGGCACCGCGGAGGAGGAATTCACCAGCCCCACTCCCGATCCAGAGCCCAGCCAGCAGTCACCACGCTGCTGCATGAAGAACTCGCCAGAGCCCGAGCCCGCCGCGGTAAAAAGAGCCAGTGCTGGAAAGAGTGACAGATGTGAACATCGCCCCGGAGCCCGAACTCGATGATGCGACTGACCAGGTGCGTGACACTGTGTGATACTGTAGGAGTCCTCGTGGAGATTGAGGGCTTGGAGGGAAGCCCCACCCACACTCACGCCGCTGAGGGTGAGCTGCAGCTGGCCTCTGGACATAATTATTACGAGGAACTTTGAGACGTTGTTCCCAGTTCTCCTGAACCTCCATTGCCCCCTACGTCTCCTGGGTCTCCACTGGTTCCATCCAGCTCTCTGTGACTCCCAAGCTCCCACCCAGCCTCCCTTTCCTGCCTCCTCTAAAACCAGCCAGTTCCTCAGCCCTGCCTCCACTTGTTCCTGTCAGTCCCTCAGCTCACCCTCAGTCAGCGCCATCTGGGTGCTCTGATCTGTCTCAGGACTTCCAGTCTCCAGCTCCCCCTAGACGTGAGGATACCCTGTCTCCATCTCCAGCCTCAGAGTCCTGGACTCCACCTCGGTCTTTCGACCCATCGGCTCTGCCTTGGCTCCTAGCTCCCTCGTCTCCGCTGTGGCCCGTCATCCCACTGGCTCCACCGGGCTCCCTCATCCATCCAGCTCTGCCTTGATCAGTCGTCGACCATCCGCCGCCTCGGGACTCCTCTCCTCCGGCTTCACCTCCTCAATCCTGGAGGTGAATCCTCCTCCTCTGGCCTTGTCAGGCTCCGCCTTCGTCCTCTGTCACTCCGGCTCCAGTGCGGTCTTCCAGATCCCCGCCTCCGCCTCGGTCGCCTGAGCCGTCAGCTCCGCTTTGGCCCTCAGTCCTCGGATGTCGCCCTGGCTCTGCGGCTCTCCGTCTCCATCCTGGGATCCTCCTACACCATGGCTCCTCCTGCCGTCGACTCCACTATGGGCTGCCATCCTGGATGTGGTCTGGATATTCGCCTGGCTCCTCCCACCGTACTCCACCCTGGCCCTATAAACTGTTTGCCTGCTCTCTGCCTGCCCCTCGTCCTCCTCCTGAACATCCACTCTCCCTCCTCTGTAGAACTTCTCCATGGTGTGAGAATGCGCCTTCCGGGAGGGGGGAGTTCTGTCACATATATGTACTGTTTCGGTTCAGTTTTCTGTGTTTCTGTTCTCCTGCCTAGTTGGTTTCCATGGTTTCTGATTAATTTACCACACCTGTTTCAGTTATTCCTGATTACCTTCCCCGTGCATTTAAACCCTGTGTCTTCATCAGTTCAGTGTCTGCTATTGATTTGATTTGTTTGGTTGTGTTTGATTTGTTTGGTTGTGTTTGCTTTCTCCTGTGGATTATTAAAGAACTCTCTCTTGTGCTTTGTTAGCATACCAACACATGACAATAAATGTTATCAAGCTAATTGAATCTTGCCAACCGTTTATATGTGACAATATAAAGACATTCAACTGTGATATTTTAGTTATTTGCAATCCAGAAGCGAGATCTCTCTTGCACATTAGGTCTGATTAATCTAATTTTATTTTTGATTGAGTTTAACTTCCAAGGATTATGAAAACAAAATGTTTGTGGTAAAGCGATATATTAAGAGAAAATGTGATGTGTCTTGAGGATTTTACGGCTGCCGCATGTGTGTGTCTGTTAAGTTCATATGACAGTAGTAATACATCATTATAAGTATACACCACTGAACTATAATAGAGAACTGGATTGCTCATGATGTCAAAGAAGAGAAGCCACCACGCTGCCCTATTGCTATTTCCTTGTGCTATCATATA